TACTGGTTGATAGTCTTGCTTATATTTTAGATGTACTGGTTGATAGTCTTGCTTATATTTTAGATGTACTGGTTGATAGTCTTGCTTATATTTTAGATGTACTGGTTGATAGTCTTGCTTTTATTTTAGATGTACTGGTTGCTAGTCTTGCTTATATTTTAGATGTACTGGTTGATAGTCTTGCTTATATTTAAGATGTACTGGTTGATAGTCTTGCTTATATTTTAGATGTACTGGTTGACAGTCTTGCTTATATTTTAGATGTACTGGTTGATAGTCTTGCTTATATTTTAGATGTACTAATTGGTAGATTTGTTGTTTCCCATAACTTTTTTTCCCGATTTTTTTTTCAGCATTATTTGTATTTCAACAGGTCATGAAGCAGACGTAATAGAAGCTATTGTTTTACAGATGACTCAACTCAAATAGAAAAGCAATGAGAAATTATGTACAGAAACATTAATGCATAATATATAAAAATCGCACGTACATAACTAATCCTATTACTTAATTATTTAATGAATATTTACATTAATTTTCGTCTGTTTGTTGTCAAAGCATAAAGCTACACAATGAGTTATCTATGCCTTTCTCATTGCGGGTATCAAAACAAAAGTTTTAGCATTATAAGCTCTCAGAGTTTCCACTGATTCACCGGGGAGAGGAGAAGAGATACATTACTGCTTCACTGGTTTTCAGTGATTAGATTTCACCTGTGTTTGCTCCAAGCTTTTTCTCAATGTATACACGTATTAGTTCCTAAGGTTTTACCTAATGTATATTAAAGGGATTAATGAAGTCTATGTTTGTACACGCAAACCCCACGTTTATTTCGATTGAAGAAGCTAGACCGTGATAATGTAACGTTTAGACGTGTAGCAACCAAGTAATTCACGCCTACCCGCATAATGCATTTTATTAGCATGGAGTAAGAAGTAAAAATAACAAAGATTCTATAATTTTTGGCTGCTGATATAACAGAGCTACGCCTGAGAGATTTAGAAATATTTTTTTCCCAAATCATAGTCGATTCATTCAGTCGGTTAGAATGGTTTAAAGTTTTCTCAATAATTAGCGTTCTCCAGTTGAGAAAGGGTTATCTGAAATAACATTTATTTATATTTGAACCAAAGAATAATTTCATATTATCTATTAATTTGTTTTAGGATATTCGCACAAAATTATAGAAACTGTTATATCTGCATAGCCGTTCTTAATTTTGAAATGATAGATTAGAGGAAAGGCAGTTAATCAACAGCACCCACTGCCAACCTTTGGGCTACTCTTGCCTTACTGAATAATGAGATTTGTCAACCGTTCTTATAGTGAACCCACGGCCTCAGACAATGGGATACGAATTTGATATTCTTAAATTCACTTTCCGGGCATACTAACTACTAGGAAAACACGTGGTATGATATTATGCACTAAGATGATAGCATTTTCATAGATATCTAAATGTTTATATTGGTCTCACAAAACACGAACCTTGTCCAAACATATATGATTTATTATGTACGTATAGATACAGCTTTTCTTGGCTGGAAAACTTGATTAACATATTCCCGTGTAGTAAGAGCTTTCTAGAACTATAATATCTTGTAGTACAATATATTTTAAAGCTTAAAAAACCATGTTTAATTTTCGAAAACATGACTGAAAAACAAACATTGAATCAATGAATTATTCATAAGAACAGACGAATAAAACTTGATAACTACTTAGATCTCAATAGCTTGTGCTTGTAAAACTAAACCAGGAAAAAGAAGAATGAGGATTTGACAAGAAAAAATATACAGATGAAATAGTTTATTATTCTTAAGTTGTCTTTTTCTCAGAAAGAATCTGAAAAATTCCTGAAAAGTTGGGGATGCAAACAGGAACTAAGGTAAAGATTGTATTTTATTAGGTATCCACACAAAGGTTGAGGTAAAAAAAAAACTATATCTGATTGGCTATGTACGTAAATTTATACGAGATGATTGTTTGATTATCTACACGAGGTTTGAGATGGAAATGACATTTGATTGGCTATCTACATATTTTTTGAAGTGAAGATTGTATTTGATTGGTTATCTACACACGTTTCGAGGTGAAGATTATAATTTATTGGCTATCCACAGTAAATTATGTCTGTTATCCTGAAGCAACAAAATTGAATGATGTCACACGTAAACCTTTGTAACTCCAAATATATATAAACTTTAATATAAATCATTTTAAGATCACATGTTTATTAATAAGAAACCGTAATTATCTATACAGAATAAAGTTAAGCCTTTTTTATTCGAATTTATCTTCGTAATCTACCAGAGATAGCAGTAAAATTAAAAACATAACAAATGTCTTTTCTTTTGGGAATGTAACATCATAGTTGCGTAAGTTCTATAAAAATACCGGTAATATGCTTGGTAAACATAATAAAGAATGGAATTATTTGGATTAGAGTTTATTCCCACTCGCAGAACTCCTATCAAAAGTGTTATACATTTTGTTGCAGGAAATATACGTCATAAAGGGGTTTTAATAATAAATTTTCTTTTTTTTTAAGGATGAATCTTGAAAATGTTGAACTGTCAAAGAAAAAAACGCAGTACCTTACACGTAGACATACGAGTACGTATATTAAATATTTACAATATATGAAACAAAAGTATTACTGAAACGCTTACATTCAGAATGTGTCATACCTTATTGGCTTTAACAAAGATCTTTTATTGGATATATGCTTTTATGTGCCGAAGAAAATAAATAATAGTTAAAATAATGGGTAAGTGCTAAACAAACAGTTTCATTAAACGCATGTTCTCCAGTAGATCAGCAGTAGGCTTAAGGACTTAAAACGGTAAAATCCGTGGTTCGATTCCCCACGGTGGACTCAACAAATAGCCCAATGTGGCTTTGCTCTAAAAAACAAACAACTCACTAAACGCTTCCATCTGAATGCTGTGTTATGTGTAAACAATATTGGTATTATGTGTAAACAATATTGAACAAGTGCATTTACATGGATTAAATTATTTTATCTGGTCGTTGTTTTAAACAGTATTGCACTAGCACATGAACTAAGCCATTATTAAGGAGAGAATGTTTGATTATAGAAAGCTAGTTTTCATTTGTTCCTTGTTGAATTGCTTAATGAATACACTAAGAACGACATATCAAAACAAAGATCCTTTTAACTGCTTAGGACATAAACCTACCACAGATAAATTGCAACCCAAAACCTGTAATTATATCAACAAATTACTTCAACTACAAGTATTGACGAACAAACTGTTTTTAATGGGCGCTCTATGCCTCACTAATACGAACAAACTGGCTTTTAATGGGCGCTCTATGCCTCACTAATACGAACAAACTGGCTTTTAATGGCGCTCTATGCCTCACTAATACGAACAAACTGGCTTTTAATTGGCGCTCTATGCCTCACTAATACGAACAAACTGGCTTTTAATTGGCGCTCTATGCCTCACTAATACGAACAAACTGGCTTTTAATTGGCGCTGTATGCCTCACTAATACAATGGTATTTCCTTTATAGCTTGTACCTTTTTAACAAACGAGACAGATAACGTTGCAGTAAACTAGACAAAGTGTTTTAGATAACGAATTTATAATGTATTAAGTTTTCTTCATTATAAAGTAATTGTAACATTCCAAAAATGATTACAGTATAAACATTTTCGCTTGGTACAATATTCTATAATACAGATTTCATTTAGAATTTTTATTCAGTGCTGTTATACAACTGCAAATTTTACACAAACTATTTATACGACTAACATTAGGACTCTTTATGTACGACGAAAACAGCTATTATTATGGTAGTACACACAGTCCTGTAGTTGTTTGAGTCTATATGTAAAAAGAATACTATAATTTTTAGTCCTACAGTTATTAGTTCTATAGTTGTTAGTTATATAGTCCTACAGTTATTAGTCCTATAGTTGTTAGTCATATAGTCCTACAGTTATTAGTCGTACATAGTCATATAGTCCTACAATTATTAGTTGTACATAGACTACATTTGTTAGTCGTACATAGTCCTACAGTTATTAGTCGTACATAGTCCTACAGTTATTAGTCGTACATAGTCCTATAGTTGTTAGTCATATAGTCCTACAATTATTAGTTGTACATAGTCCTACAGTTGTTAGTCGTACATAGTCCTACAGTTATCAGTCGTACATAGTCCTATAGCTGTTATATTCGTACATGGTTCTATATTTGTTAATCGTGCTTAGAGTCCTAATGGTGTTATAGTCTTATAGTTGTTACAGTCGCACATAAAGAATCAAATTATTTGACTATTTATGTACACCTACTAACTAAAGGGCTTTTTATGCACAACAAACAACTTTAGTAGTGTATATATAGATCATATATTTACTTTGTTTTAGCGCAAAGCTACATAATGAGCTATTTGCAAGATATCTACCATGGGAAATCGATCCCTGAATGTTAATATTATAAATTCATAAATTTATCGCTGACTCACTGGGGGGGACATATTTATTTTTCTGAACAATTAGTGATAATTATGCATATCTGACCATTTAAAATTAATAAGTAATTTCATTTTGTTATTTACATTTAATTCAGATATTAAAGTAAAAAATATGGAAGATTGTAGTTCCACAAAATCCCCCCAAAAGAGTTGATCTTTTCCCCTAGTGATTGGAATATGAAGTACGGTAGCTGTATTAAAAACATTCTCTATTATATAGCATTATGAAAGTTGCATTTACGGGTTTTGTGTAAAGGTAATCACACTCCTTTAATACTATAGTAAAGATCTGTAGCAAACTTCAAACTGTTAACAATTATTAAAAGTCGTAACTAAATGTATTGCTTAAAACTTTATTAAAGTACAACTTATATCTGATACGAAAGTTCTTGTAAGAATACGAAAAACGCTAAAACTTGAGGTTTATAACCACTTCTTAGTTTTTAAACTCTCCCTTTCACTGCAACGAACGAATAATGCGTCGGTTGGACGTACTGAAAATTGAGTTAGTTTTGATGGAAGGCGGTGGATCAATATCTAAATCCAGCCAAGATTTGCTGCATTGCTCTGGAAGGTTGTCGCACATTCTTTGTTTAAATAAAAGTTGTTTGGTATTAAGAAAACAAAACTGAAAATCTCCCGTTCAATAAGAGACTGAAAAACATGTGATAAGGTATGATGTGTGCAGATAATAACATCACTATTTATTTTATTAGGAGCAATTATTAAGGTGTTCATGTATAAGACATTTAGGTCAGATGATGATTACGTTTGAATGTAGATCTTATTACTGGCATGGTAAGAATAAAAAACTTGGAAAATATTGATAATCAATGGTATGAACGTAAACAGATGATGTTTTTACAGACAAGTTAAAATGGAATTCATTTTTTATCCCTTGACAAGACTACGTTTTTCATCACGTCCAAAGTAAACAGAGATGGAAAAAATTATTTCATCGCCCAATGTTTTCACACTTTTCGTGGCTCCTGTAATTTTTACGAGATTGTGCATTTTGGAAGTTTTAGTCAGGTTTATGGCTCAGCGGTAAACTTGTGTGCTCATAACGCTTAAAATATCGGTTAGATACCCGTGGTGGGCACAACGCAGTTAGCCCATTGTGTAGCTATTTGCTTAAACACAACAAATAAAACAAAATATGATAAGACATTCTATACTAAGAAACTTATGGTGGAAACAATATTGCATGCATCAACCAATTTGTTCACACTTGGTGCCTGTAATTTTTTACGAGACTGTACATCGTGGGAGAAGCACCTTGGAACTACAGGAAGTCCTAATCCGAATGTGACATCATAAACTCACCCTTACTACACTTAATCCTTTGTGCACTCTATGTCACGGCGATGTAAAGCAGTTATCAAGGCCAGAGAAGGCACATCCAAATATTAAAACATGAAACACTCTGTGACCACTGTTTATCAATTACATTAGTGGTGTTACCTTTAAATCTAGCTTTTCTTACTCAGAGAACATTTTAGTATTTGCTAAGTATTTGTTGACCATCTGCTGTAATACGTTCGTCACGGTTGATTTGTTAATAAAGTTGCGTAATTATGTGTTTGGATGACAAACATATGAGCCAGCTTACACCACACAATGTCCATAACCATGTTACACTAGTTCTGACATTTACAGTTCTCGAAAGAGCATGACAGGAAACTTCAGAGTAACTATCACGGCGAGCGCACCGTCAGGTCTCACCTTTGTTCAGCTGGTTTTCCAGCAAGATGGCCAAGAAAGATACCCTCCAGATGAAGAAAACGAAGCTCATCTGGGCCAAAGATTATGTTGACTGGACTGAAGCAATGTGGAGTAAATAATCTTCTGAGACGAATTAAAGCTCAACTTGCACGAGTCTGATGGGAAGCACTTTGTATGATGTCTATATGGAAAAGAGTTTCATCCAGCGTGAAACTGTGAAGCATCCGCAGGGTCAGGTGATATGAGAATGCATTTCTGACTAGGGTGTGGGACGCCCGCATTTTGTGAAATGCGCTGTCAATGCTGACAATTGCATCGAGATCCTCGAGTCCTGCTTCAAGCCAACAATTCGGGACCATTTCGGTGGAGCTGCCTAGTACAAATCCCGAGATGACTCTGCTCTATGCCACAGGTCTGAAAAGGTTGGTAATATTCATGCACTCTATGAAGTAGACATGAAATAAAGAGTAAATCTCACTCTACATGTATTGGAAAAACATCTTAGGTTTTATTTTATTACTTCAGGTGAAAGATTGTCTTTGAAGGGGGAGGATCAAGAAACTATGCTTGACCAGATCTCAACCTTATCGAAAACTGATTAAAGGTAAGGGTTAACAAAGTGCAAGAGAAGAATACACCTAGTTTTTCACACTTTTCTTTAGAATCATCGTCTGTTATGAGGCCCTAATGTATGTAGGTGCAAGTGTGTTGCATTGGTGATGCAATACTGTTTAATTATTGCATCAGCAGCTTTATAGGCTGTATGAGTATTGAATCAGCTGTTTTTTTTTTCGCTATAAATAGAGGTTCTTACTAAATCAGTTCAGAAGCCTATCTACTACACCATGCGTGTGATGCTACGAAAGCCAAGGGTTGCGAGTTAACTTCACGAAAGAAGTAGTCATTATTTCTTTGAACAAAGAGAGATTTTCGACAAGGCAGATTGCTAAAACAATTAAATTTAGCCAGTCTGCTGTGAACCACTGGGTGCAGATATATAGAGATACTGGCTTTGTAGAGCGGAGAAAGAGAAGTAGGAAGAAAGCTTCCACAGCAACTGACGATCTTGTTCTGAAACGCATAAGGCTGCAGAATTATCCACTGTCGTCCGTGCAATAACTTTTTCCACAACTGTATTTCGTGGAGATACTCAACGTATCACAACACTTACAAATTTGTTAGTTCGGGTTATATCTTACAGTGTGTTATTTTAGTCCGACAGGTTCATTATAAAGTCTCTTTAAAATAAATCGTATAATTTATTTAAGTTTAAAAGTTCTAAAAAGCATGGCGTAATTCATAGTTTCCTTTAAGGTGTTCACAGTAAGAAAACGTTACCGTGGTAATAATATATATATATGTGTGTGTGTGTGTGTGTGTG